GCAGCACCAGCCGCACCAGCCTCTTGCAATCCTTGCACAACCCAGATGCACTCACGGCTCAGGGCCTTTACACTGGCTGTTCCCTCGGCCTGGATCGCTCTTCCTCTGGATGTCCGCGTGGCTGCCTCCCTCACCTCAAGTCTTTATTTAAATGTCACCTTCTCAGGGAGCCCTCTGCTGACCATCCTATCAAAAACAGCACACCGCACCCTTCTCACCCACCTCCCTGTGTGTGTGCTAAGTCGCTCAGTCATGTCTGACTCTCTGCGACTCCCATGGTCTGTAGCGCGCCAGGCTCCTCTGTCCGTGGGATTCTCCAGGCAAGAATGCTGGAGTGGGCTGCCATGCCCTCCTCCAGGGGATCTTCCCAACCTAAGAAATGAACTCTAATCTCATGTCTCCTGCATTGGCAGGAGAGTTCTTTACCACTAGCCCCACCTTGGAAGCCACAATCACCTCCCTAACCCTCTGTTTTTCTCCATAACCCTTTTTTGGGGGGATGCTGAATCAGGTCTTAGTTGCAGCACAGGAAGTCTTTTAGTTGTGGCATGTGAGATCTAGTTCCCTGACCAGGAGTCTTAGCCACTGGACCACCAGGGAAGTCCCTCTCCAGTAGCTCTTAACACCATTTCACATACCATGTATTTTACTTTTGTATGGAGTTCATTGCTTTTCTATCCAACGAGGACATCAGTCCTGCGAGGGCAAGGATTTTATCTATTCACTGCCACATCCCTAGATGGCTGGAACAGTGCCTGACACACGGTAGGGGCTCGGGAGAGACTGAATGAATGTATGAATTGACTTTTTTATCCCTGTCATTCTTTCTGTCTCTTGTTGGGTTGGTGTCTCTCTCTTTTCTTTGCCTCCTAATTGCTTGTCTGTATCTCTCATCTCTGTCTCTCTCTGGCCTACTAGAAGGATACCACCTTGAAACCCAGGTCCCTTCTGTCACCATCAAGCATTGCTGACACCCCATACCGGCCCTTGGTTCATATAGGTGCTCAGTGAACACCTGTCTAAGTCACGTTATGAATGACTGAAAATGCTCGTGTCTTGCCATGCCTCTGGGGGAGCCGTCTGCCATTTTTACTCTGAATCTCTGAGACTGTATCTCAGTTTCTCCCTCAGTTTCCCTCCCTGAGTTACTCTGCTTTTCATTCAGCCATCCCTTACCTTCTATCTGCAGAAGGCACTGTTACCAAATGGTTATTGATCTGGACTCTGAACACAGACTGCTAAGGCCTGAATCCCAGAAAGTCTGGATGACCCCGATCATTCAGTCAGCCTTCATGGAGTTCATTCATTCATTCACTCATTCCACAAATGAGGCAGGGGCGCCAACACAGACCAGGTGTTGTGGCTCTGTCCTGTTTGTCTCCTGCTGAATCTGTGGGAATCTCTCCTCCTTTGGGTCTCTCTCCCTCCATCTGTTGGGGCAGAACGATCTCCCTTTTCCTGTCTCTATATCTCCCTGTGTCTCTGACGTTCATTTAGCACTGACTCCACAAAGGTGCTATGCTGTAGATGCTGAAGACATAGAAGTGACCAAAATGCCCCTGGCCCTGCCCTCACAAGGCTCTTAGTTCAGACCCATCATCAGAGAGTAACAAACCTGTAATCAGACAGAAGAGTCAGAATGGGGATGGGGGAGTCCAAGGACCTGTGACAGTTCAGAGGAGGTACCTGTGTGCCCAGCACAGGGTCAGGCCCAGAGCAGGCACTCAGAAAATGTTTGCTGATGAACAAAGTCACGATGAAGGATCCTGCCACTGTCCTTCCAGTCACTCAGGCCAACAGGCTTTCAGCCTTCCTCACTTCCTCTCTCACACATCGCATCAGATTTACCAGCAAGTCCTGTTCTAAAATCTTTTTTTTAATAATGTTTTTAATTGGTGGAAAACTGCTTTACAATGTTGTGTTGGTTTCTGTCATACAATAACCTGTTCTAAAATCTACCCAGAGGAAAAAATAAAATAAAATGTACCCAGAGGGACTTCCCTAGTGGTCCAGTGGTTAGGACTCTCTGCTTTCAGGGCCGAGCCCAAGTTCAATCCCTGGTCAGGGAACTAAGATTCCTGCCAGCTGAGCCCAAAGAAACAAAATCGACCCGGAACTCCACCCCCGCACACAGCTCTTCCTCCCACGAGCCCACCCACCTGGACCGGGGGGCAGTCACACCCTCTCTCTTTCTGCTCCAGCACCTCAGTCAGTTCCCCTCCTGCAGCCAGAGGGAGCTGGTGAGCACCTGCGGTAGACTACACCCCTCCTCAGCCCCCAGGATCCTCTGGTGCTTCCACCTAAGCCTTAATCGGAATAAAACCCAAGTCCTCCTTGAGGCCCACAAGGCCCTGTATGCCCCTGCCCCATCCCCTCCCTGGTTTTGTTTCCTCTGTCTTCCCCTCAGTCACTCTGCTCCAGCCATGCTGGCCTCCCCACTGCTCCTCAAACACACATACTTTTGTACATGTGCATTTATATATAAGATGGTAAATCATCTGCCTGCAATGCAAGAGACCTGGGTTCAATCCCTGGGTTGGGAAGATCCCCTGGAGAAGGGTATGGCAACCCACTCCAGTATTCTTGCCCGAAAATATCCCAGGGACAAGGGAGATTGGCAGGCCACGGTCCATGGGGTCACAAAGAGTCAGACATGACTGAGCGACTAACACTTTTACACTTGATCTTAGCCAAAAGGCTGAGAAGCGATAAACACCTTCAGTTTCACACTTTCATATACTTACTCCTGCCTCAAGGCCTTTGCACTGGCTGCTCCTTCTACCCAGATGCTTTCCCCCAGATGTCAACACAGCTCCCTCCTTCTTTCAAAACATCCCTCAAATGTCACCTACTCAGGGAGGCCTCCCTAACCACAGAACCTAGAGTTTCACTCATCACCACCCCACATCCTCCTCCTCCCAATTTCATCTTGTCTCCTTCTCATTCACATATCTTATTCTGCTCATTTGTCTTGGAGACTCTATCTCCCCCGGTAGAATTCAGATGGGAAAGAATCTGCCTGCAATGCAGGAGACCCAGATTCAATCCCTGGGTTGGGAAGATCCTCTGGAGAAGGAAATGGCAACCCACTCCAGTATTCTTGCCTGGAAAACCCTATGGACAGAGGAGCCTGGCAGGCTACAGTCCATGGGGTCGCAAAGAGTCGGACATGACTGAGTGACTAAAACTTTCACTTTCACTGTCTCCCTCACTAGAACATCGCAGGGATGGGACCAGGCCAGAGGAGCTGAGCTAAGAATGGAGCAAGGATGGGGAGACCTCAGGACTGTCAGGGAGACAGTGTCAGGACTGGGATGGGGGAGAGAGGAATTTCAGAGCCAGGAGGAGGGGAGAACCATCGTGGACAAGGAGGGAGAGACCTCAGGGTGGGAGGTGGGACCCAGGGAGAACTCAAGAGTCAAGCAGAGACCCAGGGCTGGGGAAAGCCAGGTGAGAACCGGAGCAGGGGGCCTGCTGCCCAGGGATGGCCACACTCACCTTGACCCTGAAGGGACAGCGGGTCTGGTCCACCAGCATGATGTTCTCGGGCTTGAGATCAGCGTGGATGATGGCGAGTTCCTTGAGCCTGGCCAGGGCCCGGAGTACCTGCAGGGTGACCGTGCGGATGTGGCGGGCAGGGAGGGGCGCGAAGTTGTTCTCCTTCTGGAATTCGAAAAGGTTTTGCTCCAGCAGCTCGAAGACCAGGTAGAACTTGAGGGCGTCGTGGAAGAACTCGAGGAAGCGGATGACGTGGGCCTCCTCGGGGTCCAGGCCCCGCATGCAGCGCAGCAGCTTCAGCTCGTTCTTGATGATCCGGTTGCGGTAGGCGTCGTTCTTCAGGATCTTGATGGCCACCATCTCGCCCGTGCTTCGCCGCCAGCCCTTGGCCACCTCCCCGAAGGTGCCCTTGCCCAGCACCTCGATGATGTCGTAGCAGTCAGTCTCCGACTGGATGGTGGCCATGGTGCTCCTGCCTCCGGATGCCACGCTGCTGCCACCCCCGTTCTGCGGGCTCTGCCTCTAAGGCCTCCTGCCCCCACACTGGCCCTGAGGCCCCCCCAGTGGGGGAAAGAGGACCGCACTCGTGCCTTGCCCTGCAAGGTTCTCCCCCACCTCCCTGGCAACCCCCAGACCCCTGGGCCACACGACGAGTCTACCAGGGGCTGCACCCCTCCCCCAAAGCCCTCCCGGCTTGGGACGAGGGGCCCCAGGCCCTCCCGAATGGGTTCCAGCGTTGCTGAGTGGCTCCGGTTCTGTTGTTGGAGACCTGAGCCCTGGCTGGAATGGGGGGGTGGGGTGGCAGGTAGGGCCCCCCTCCCCCGCCCAGGGGCGGAACCCTGGAGCGGCTGGAGAGGTGAAGGGTCGACGGAGATGGGAGCCTGAACGTGGGCCTTGGGTAGAGAGCGATGGGACGTTCCTAAACAGAGGACCTGCAGGCTTCCCAACCTGGGGGATGTGTGTGTCTGTGCTCAGAAAAATCTGCTCCTGCCTGTGGCTGCCCCAGGGAGGGGGCAGCGTGAATAAACGAGGCCAGGTTGCAAAGGATCTTGAGTACCAGGCTAAGGAGTCTGGACCTTGTTCTGAGAGCACTGCGCTTCCCCGGTGGCTCTGGTAAATAATCCACCTGCCAATGCAAGAGAAGTGGGTTCAACCCCTGGGTTGGGAAGATCCCCTGGACAAAGGAATGGCAACTCACTCTAGCATTCTTGCCTGGGAAATCCCATGAACAGAGGAGCCTGGTGGGCTACAGTCCATGGGATCACAGAAGAGTCAGACATGACTTGGCGACTAGATAACAACAACTGAAGACCTTGGGGAGCCACATAAGGACTTTGAATGAGGAAGGCAGGTTGAAAATTTTATTTATTTAGTTACTTATTTTTAAATTTTGGCCTCGCAGCTTGTAGGATCTCAGTTCCCCGACCAGGGATCAGACCCAGGCCACAGCAGTGACAGACAAATCCTAACCACTAGGCCATCAGGGAACTCCCCAGGGTCAGATTTTGAGTGTCAGAAAGCTACTGTGTGAAGAAGAGTGGATTGGAGGGGGCAAGAGTGGAAGCCCCCAGCCTGCAGCAGAGTCCAGGTGGCAGAGGAGGGGGAGGCAGGTGGATGGGACACTCAGGAGGCCGGGAGGATAGGCCATGGGACTGGGCGGTTATGGGCAAAGGAGGGAGCCATGCGGGACAGGGCCCAGGGCTGTGGGGGGGATAACAATGGGACAGAAACATGGACTGGCAGTCTGGGGGGAGCGGACATTAGGAAATTTAACACTGAAACATTAAAACACATGCTGAATGCTTTAGAAGCCTTATCTGATCCTTACACTATATATATATGTATATATATATTTATATATATATACATATATATGTGTGTGTGTGTTTTGTCATGCTGCCTGGCTTATGGGATCTCAACTCCCTAACCAGAGACTGAACTCGGGGCACAGCAATGAAAGCCCAGAACCCTCATCTCTAGGCCACCATGGAATTTCCCACAATATGCATCTTTTTTAAAATTTATTTGGCTACACTGAATCTTAGCTGTGACATGCAGGAGCTTGTTCCTTGAGCAGGGATCGAACCCAGGCCCCTGCATTGGGAGTGCAGAGTCTTAACCACTGGACTACCAGGGAAGTCCCTCCAGTACGCAACTTAATACCTCCATTTTATAGAAGAAAAAATAGAGGCCAAAAGAAGTTTAAAAAACACCCAAGGTCACCCAGGTGGATGCCAGTGGCAGGCTTTGACCTTGAGCAGTCTGCTCTAGAGCCAAGCTCCGAACCACCAGACACTGCCTCCTAATGTCCAAGAGACGCCCAGGAAGGTGTGCAGAGATGCAGACAGGCACCGAAGGCCCATGTGGACCCAGGAGAGACTTTGGGAACTGTCAGCAAAGAGGTGAGGAGTGGAAGCCGGGGGAAGGGTAACGGGGCCCAGGGAGGGTGAGGAGGTGGATGAGCGCCTGGGAGGAGCCCTGAGGACCCAAGGGGCCTGAGGGAGACAGAGGAGGTAGGAGGGAGAAGAGAGCATTCAGGAAGGAGGAAGGAATCCTGAGAAGTCAGGACACAGAAGACAGAGGAAGCCCCGAAAGTGGCCATGGACTGAGGACACTGACAGTCGACAGTGGCGGGAGGAGAGCCCCCAGATGCTAGGGGGCTGGGCAAGGGGTGTGCACCAGGAACAGAGCTATCTCCTGCCACGTTTGGTGGGAATGAAGAGGAAGCATGTGATGGGGTGTCAGCTTGAAGGAAGTAGGTGATGGCTTACGTGAAGAGACTGGGACAGCCCAGGGTTTCCCAGGTGGCACTAGCAGTTAAGAATCCACTTGCCAATGCAGGAGACACTGGTTTGACCCCTGGGTCGGGAAGATCCCCTGGAGGAGGAAATGGCAACTTGCTCCAGTATACTTGCCTGGAGAATCCCACGGACAGAGGAGCGTGGTGGGCTACAATCCATGGGTTTGCAAAGGGTCGGACACGACCGAGTGACAGCAGGCACGCACGCACCCTCACTGGGACAACTCAAAGGCACAGCCCTTCTTCCTCTAGAATGGGAGGGTGGAGATGTGACGAGAGTGGGATGGCGGTTATAGCGGCATCATCAGCAGAGTTGCACCTGGACGGCTTACCTGGGGCATCCCAGTGAAATGGGGACCCTGGTTGGGGGCTTAGATCCTGAGTGGGGAGGGGTCCCTAGGAGCCGAGGCCCAGCCCCACTAGGGGCTGATAGTCCTGGGACTTAGTCCTAAGGTGTCTTGGGGTGGAGGCTCTGAACCCGGGAGCTTGGAGAGGGGACAGGGAGAGGCCTTCCTGGGTAGGGCAGGGGTGGACCAGGTAGTCAAACCAGCCGGACTGGAAAGGGAGAGCAAGGGTGCAGGAGTGCTCTTGGAGGCGGGGAGGCTGCCCGCAGAGGGCAGGGGGTAGCAAGCGTTTTCTGCCCTTAGGGCTCCTGGGGTTGTCCTGGCAGGAGTGGCCCCTGCAGGACACGCGGAGTCTCCAGCACAGGGGTCCCTGGGCTCTGCTGGGGCACCTTCCCAGCTCAGAGGCCCCTGGGAATTTTGAAGGACTAGGACAGCCCCCCTCCCACCAGGCCCACACCAAGGCCTTCCGGACTCTGGGCTGTCTCCCTGCACGCAGGACCCCTTCAGGCCAGACCTCAAGGGACTCCTTTCTCTGTACCACACCACCCCACCCCACCCCACCCCCGCTCCACCCCCGCACTCCGCCCCCGCAACGCAAGCACACAGAGGAGACCGCACACAGAGCCACCTCTGGATTATTTTATTCACATGGCTTGGCAAGGCATGGGCACTCCTGCCAAAGGGCCGGGCACGGCCACCCCGGCCCTGCCCTGGTCAGCCGCCCACCTCCCAGCCTTCTGAGGGTTAGTGCTAGTCATCTCACACACAGAACAGGGGTGGGGGATGGGAAAGATGAGATGGGGCGGGGGCAGGGGTCTCCCTCTGCTCAGGGGCTTTCAGATGACAGCAGCCTGAGCCCCCTCCATCCTCGTGGGGCCTGGAGGGCCCGTCTCGGAAAACCCCACACTGGGCAGCCGCACCCGGAATCCACCCTCATCCTGGTCCCCGCTCCCGCCCCGAGCCTTGGGGCTTAGGGACACCCGGGGGAAGCGGAACTTGGGTGACTTCTCCCCACTGGGAGACTTGGGCGCCGCCTCACCCTCCTGCCCCCGGGAGGCCTTGGAAGGGGCAGCCAGGCCCACACGGGGCAAGCGGACTCGGACACGACCTCGGCGCCCGGAGGCCCCTTCCCCGCCGCCCTCCGCGTCCTCCTCCTCGGGGCTGGGGGAGCCTTCTCCACTGACCGCCTCGCTCTGGCTGAAGCCCACGCGGGGCAGCTTGAGTTTTGGGCTCTTGGCCTTCTCACCTTCCTCAGCCCCCTCCTTGGCCCGTGCCAGGCCAAACCGGGGCAGCCGCACCTTGAGCTTGTGTCCGGCATCTCCCTCACCCTCTGCCACCTGGTACTCAGCGTGGGTGCCCACGGCGGGCGGGGAGAGCTCCACGTCGGGCAGGGAGAGGTGGAAGGTGCGCTCTGCCCCTGCAGACTGGTCGCTTGGCCCCTCAGCCCCGGCCCCAGCTCTAGCCCCCAGTGTAGGCACCTTCAGCTTCAGCCCACCCTCACTGGTGGTGGCCTCCCCGTCCTGCACCTCTCGGCTCAGCCCCACGTCCAGCTCAAGCTGGGGCACTGTCACAGCGGGCATCTTGAAGACACCTTCGCCCACGAACAGCTCGCCACCCGCCGCCTGGGCTCCAGGTAGAGCCAAGGTCACTTGAGGCATGTGGACCCTGTAGCCTGCTGTGCCCTCTGCTGGAGGGGCCGAACTCTCAGCCTGCTGGCCCGGGGTGGCCTCCCTAAAGCCGGTGAGCTCCACCTGGGGCAGGGAGATGCCCAGTGGCATCCTCAGCCCCCCGTCCTGGGCCTCAGTGCCCACCTGCTTGGCTGGGGACACTTGCAGGCCTGTGAGCCGTCCTCGGCCGCCGGCTGCCTCCTCCTCTACCCGCCCCTCCTCCTGGGCCCCCAGAGCAACCAATTCCACCTCGGGGATCTTAAGCTGCACAGCTGTGGACTCTGACTTTTCCCCGGGGCTGACTCGCCCACCCGAGATGTCTGCTTCCTTCCCTCGAGCCAGCCCAAAGGAGGGCATCTTCAGCTTGGGCATCTTCACCTTCCCATCCCAGCCCTTGTTCTTGCCCTCCAGCTCAGCCGTCCCTGGCACTAGTTCTCCCGCCTCAGTGTCCCGGCCCCTGACCCCAAACTTGGGCAGGCCAAACCTGGGCCCCTTGAGCTTGATATCGGCCCCAGCAACCTCTGCCTTGCCTGTGGGCAGATGGGAATCCAGGCTTAGCTGCGGGATGGACAGGTCGAGGGCGGGCAGCAGACCTGCCTCCTCCATACCCTTGGCCTCCACCTCGGTCCCCACCCGAGCCCTGGGGAGTGAGATGGCGAACTTGGACACCTTCAGCTTGGCAGCTCGTCCGGCCCCCTCAGCCTCTGCCTTGGTCACCTTTGGCCCCGAGAGTCCAAACTTGGGCAGGGAGAACTTGGAGGAGGGCTTGACTTTCGCCTCTGTCACCTCTGCCTGCCCTTCCTCCAGTGTGGGAAGCTGTGGGGTGACGATCTCCACGGAAGGCAACCGGAAGGCCACTTCCCCGACCCCAGCTGCTTCTGCCTGCTCCCCTTTGCCCACTTTGGCAGCAGCCTGCCCCTCAAGGCCGAGAGCCCCTGGCAGG